AAAGGCGTTGAAATAGATTGGGTGTCTGCCGGCCCCCTAGAAAGGACGGAAAAGGTGAAGCCACTCGACCATTGAAGTAGGAAGGCACTTAAAGTAGATTGGAATATGAAGCTCCAAACACACCTACGTTCAACGACCGAGTGGTATTATCATCACCATCAACACCACCACCATTGGTTATCACCATCATTGCGAACCCCCGTTACCATGATGAACGACAACCATCGTCACAAACCATTGTGAATCATCATCACCATCCCCGTCACCGCTATCATCAGCATCATCACAGTTTACCACCATCGCAAATCTGCACCCTCATCATCACCACCACCATCACTTCTCATCATCACCATCATCGTGTTCGTGAGGATCACCATCATGATCATCACAATCCTCACCGACCGCATTATCACAATCATTTCTATCAGCACAGTTGTTTATCATCAACACCATCAAGAACCATCGTCATCCTCACAACCAGCATCAATACCCTCATCAGCAACATCATGAATCCCACCAGCCCTTTAGGGCGTGAGTGGTTTAGAGAGCCCCCTCTGTCCTCAACCCCCCTTCTTCCCCTTCGGGGAGGGGTTTACCCCTCCCCCTACCCCCTCCCCCTGGGCCTGGAGAGGGAGTTCCGCGGGTGGTCAGGGGGGTCTTTTTCGACGCCTGGGAGGGCCAAAAAACGACGACACTCACAAGGATTCTGGCCCCGACGGGGGGGCACTCTTGTAGCCCCCTCCTCTTCTGTGAAGCCAAAATCCTTGCTTTTACGATGGTTTTGGCCCCATTTTGGTCTCCCGAGGGGGCCGCGCTCATCTTCCTTCATAGCAAAATCATTGATTTTACGAGGGTTTGGGGCTCATTTTGTCCTTCTCAGGGGGCAGCGCTTCTTTGCGCTTCTGAGGAGGTCTCAAGAGGCCCCAAGATGGCCCCAAGAGGTCCCCAGGAGCCTCCCAAGAGGCCTCCAAGAGGCCCCCAAGAGGCCACCAAGAGGCCCCAAGAGGCCCCCAAGAGGCCCCCAAGAGGCCCCCAAGAGGCCCCCAGAGGCCCCAGGAGGCCCCCAAGAGGCCCCCAAGAGGCCCCCAAGAGGCCCCCAAGAGGCCCCAAGAGGCTCCAAGAGGCCCCCAAGAGGCCCCACGAGGAGCCCGAACGACTCACACCAGGACGAGGGGCCCGAACGACTCACACCACGAAGAGCCCGAACGACTCACACCACAAGGAGGGGCCCGAACGACTCACACCAGGACGAGGCGCCCGAACGACTCACACCACGAGGAGCCCGAACGACTCACACCACGACGCGGGCCCCGAACGACTCACACCACGAGGAGCCCGAACGAGTCACACCAGGAGGAGGGGCCCGAACGACTCACACCAGGATGAGGGGCCCGAACAACTCACACCACGAGAAGCCCGAACGACTCACACCAGGACGAAGAGCCCGAACGACTCACACCACGAAGAGCCCGAACGACTCACACCAGGAAGAAGGGCCCGAACGACTCACACCAGGACGAGAAACCCCAAACGACTCAAATCACGAGGAGCGCTTTCTCTCCCTCCTCCTCCGCCTCGTCCTTCTCCCGCTCCCCCCACAAGGAGGATGTACAAGGAGGCGGGAGGAAGGAGGAACAGGGGAGATATGCGGGGCCAAATGGACACACGCCTGAAAAACACGACTGTCGGCATGCTTCGCATGAGTTGCTGTTGTGAGATGGGCTGGTGTGGATACGCGGAGCGTAAAGAATTATCATTGTCATAAATCAACGTCAATATGACCATCATGAGCCGCATCATCATCATCCCCATCATCATCTAGATCCTCATACACATCCTCACCCTCCCCCTGACCATCCTCATCATCATCATCATCATTGCCACCATCATCTATAAACATCAGCATCATCATCATCATCATCAGCATCACCATCCCTACTAGAAAGCATCACCAGCATCATCATCACCATCATCAGAACCATCACCATGAATCATAAAGACCATCATCATCGTCGTAGTCATCATCATCATGATCACCAGCATCACCGTTGCAATCATCATCGTTATCACCATCCTCGCCCACATCATCATAAACGACCATCACCACCATAATCAGTAGCACCATCATCACCATGCTGGTCATCACCATGCTCGTCATCACCATTACCAGTATCAGCATCAGCATCATCATCAGCATCATTAGCATCATCATCAGTCTCGTCAGCACATTCTGTATACATCATCATCAGCAGCACCATCTGTACCATAAAAAAGCATAACCCCCATCCTGATCATACTCATCAGTATCATCAGCATCGCCACCATCATCATAGATCATCATCATCGTCATCAACATCACCGATAAAATAAATCATGACCTTCATCACCACACATCACCTTCATCATCCCCGTGATCACCGTTAACATCACCACCATCAGAAAATCACCATCAAGATCAACCATCATCATCACCAGCATCAGCATCACAAAACGACACCATCATAGATCGCCCGCGTCGTTAGGAAAATCAAAAATAATCGCCACAAACGTCATCATCATCAACATCACCATCCGCATCAGCACCAGATGCTTGACCCCCACCATAGATCACCATCATCAGCAGCAGCACCACTACCGCGATTATTAACCACCAGTACCCTACATGACCATCATCATGCATTATCAACGCCATAAACCATAACCGTCTGCATAATTGATCGCAAATCGTCATCGCCATTATCATTATCAACATCACCATCTGCAGCATCATCATCAACTCGCCTACATCACCATCAATCATCACCACGATGGGATGCCACGATCGCCATAAACAGCCATAAGTCGTGATCAGCACCTTCACCATCATGAGTACCACTACCATCATAAACTACGATCACCAATCATCACCCTCACCAACAGAAGCCATGATCGTCAGCATCATCGTGATCGCCACCATCATATACCACCACCATCATCACCATCACCACTTCTAGCACCACCTTTAACCATCACCACTAAAAACAATCATCAACATAATTACCACCGTCAACATCATCGTAATGAACCACCATTGGCCGTCAACAACACAAGCCTCACCAGTACCAGCAGAATCCTTAAATCACCCTCGTAAACACCATCACCACCAGAATCACCATTACCATTAATCATCACCAACAACAAGAATCACCCTCATCGATACCATCACCATGATTCATCATCACCATAAGCGACATCACCAAGAACTACCATCAGCATGATGAACAGTCTGCACAAAATGAATCATCAGCACTAACTATCGCCATCGTCACTAATAATAGGAAATCATGATCAGCAGCATTATCATCAGCAGCATCAGCATCGCCGTGCGCCTGCATCATCACCACCACCACCACCAGCATAGTCATCACCCACGTGAACTCTAATCACCATAAATCATGATCACCCTCATGGTCATCATCATCAGCCTCGCCATCACCATCATCACCATCATCATGAACAGCCATCAGCATGAACCACTCCCATCCCCATCAGCAAAACATCATCACCATCAGCTTCATCATCACCATCACCATCAACATAATTCATCGTCACCATCATCATCACCATCGCCATCATCATCTATAGTACGGCCATTAACCACATCAACATATAAGCCACCTCCAGCATGGATCATGATCACCATCGTAGCAGACCACCCTGAGTCATCAACCCGATGATCACCAGTAACAGCATCATCAACACAACAGCCATCGTCAACATGACTGTTTAATAACTCGCCATCGTCATCATCATCATCACCATCCTCATCAGCATCACCATCACGCATCATCATCGAACTTATCACCATCATAAACCATCAGCATAGTCACAATCACCATAAGTAACCATCACACTCAACATGAACCATTATGGTGATCATACATCACAAGCATACATCACCAACCATCATCATCACCATCATCTTTATCAGTGGCATCATCACCATAGCCATCACCATCAACATAAGTCAGCATTATCATCATCATCACCACCATCCTCTTATCACCGCTATTATCAGCATAGTGTCGTTTTACCCACGAAAAACAGTGTCATCATCATGGTCAGCATCAGCGCCATCACCATCCTCAGCATCACGGCCATCAGCATTAACCATAACAATCATCACAAGTCATCGTGACCACCATCAGTGTAACATCCTCGTCGTCATCATGATCATCATGATGACCAATATCACCATCACCAAAAGTCTTCATCATCATCACCGTCACCTCTAGGGTCACCATTAATCAGCATCATCATGGACCATCACCACCCATAATAGGTCATCTTCATTATTGTAACGAACCATCGTGAATCAGCACCATTTCAATTAACCGTTCTCATGATCATCACCGCCATAAATCATCATCACAGTCGTCACCACCATAACAAGCAATCATCATCACCAGCATAGCTCATCATCATAATTACCATGAGTCATTATCACCGCTACTATCATCACCACAACAATTAATCATGGCCAGTATCATGAATCACCACCAGCATCAGCATCGCCAGCATTATCATAAACATCATCAGAATCAGCACCAACGCTACCACCACCACCATCATCATCACCATAAGCACTACCATCATCATCACGAGCGACCACCCTCATAAGCATGATCACAGTCATGATCAGCATCATCATCAGCATCGTCATCATTATCTTCACCAACCGTATCATCACCACCATCCCCACTACCATCATCACTCATCAGCACTACCGTCAGAAGTCGTCATCACCGTCAGTAGCGTCACAGGCACCATCTGTATCGCAATCATCGTCACCACCATCACTAGCCACCATCAGCATCAACAGTACTCATCATCAGCAGCAAGAGCATCATCGTCCACACCATCACCCTACCCTCATATTCATCTTCCTCCTGCCCCTCCCGCGGCCCGAACTCGCCGCGGCGGGCCGCCTGCCCGCGCGCCCCCCCTCCGGGGAGGCGGTCCTCGGAGAGCATGCCGGGCACCTCCGCCCAGACGATGGTGCCCTGCGCGGCCGACGCGGCAGGGGCAACAGCCCCCACCCTGAGACGAAGGTAGGACGAGGACGATGGCAGTATTGCTATTGTCACCGGCATCGTCATGAGAGACATTGTTGGCATTGTCGCCACTGTTGTCATCAAAATCATGATCTTCATCGTTCCCATCAGTATCGGCAGTATTGTCATTATCGCCAATACTGTCACTAACGCTACCCACAGACCCCTCTATTGTCCCAGACTGATGTTGAGGGTTTGCCCAGACCCATGCTGCGTCCCCCAGGGAGAAGGAGGAGGAGGAGGACACCCCAGCTGTTTTAAAACGTTTTGAATCCTGCCTGTCTGTTTGAAGATTGAAGAGTGAAGATTCCTGTGCTTTTATGCGTGTGATTATTCAAGCGGGTGTGTAGGGTAGACGTTGTGGGCGGCTCTTTTTAAATATTGAAGATTGAAGATTCCTGGGCACTTACGTTTGTGATTCTTCAAGCACGTGTGTGTAGGAGAGACGTATTGGGCGGCTCTGTTTAAGATTGAAGATTGAGGATTTCTGGGCACTTATGCGAGTCTTCAAACACTAAAATTGCACGTTGTCGTTGGTCAGTTTGAAAGATCCATATCATAAGTCTGCTGCGTTCTTCAATCTTCAATCTTCAAACTTGGCTGCCGGAGGCCAGTTCTTAAACGTTTTAAAACTACTTGGGGGGGTCTTCAATCAGGGGTACACAGACCCTGCTTGAACATGCGGGCAATAAGTCTGCTCAGATATTCGATCTTCAATCTTCAAACAGGCAGCGAGACGAAGAGAGAGGGAGGGGGAGAGGAGGAGGAAGGAGGGAGGAGAAGGAGCGAGGAGGAGGGCGGAAGAGGAGGAGAACTGAGGATGAGGAGGCACTAAATTTGCACGCTGTCGTTGGCCAGTTTGAAGAATCCGTACCATAAATATGCTGCGTTCTTCAATTTTCAATCTCCAAACCAGGCTGTCGGAGACCAGTGTTAAAACGTTTTAAAACTACTGGCGGGGTCTTCAATCAGGGGTGCACAAACCCTGTTTGAACATGTGGGCAATAAGTCTGCTCAGATCTTCAACCTTCAATCTTCAAGCAGGCAGCGGGAGGGAGAGAGATGGAGGGAGAGAGGAGGAGGGAGGAGGGAGGAGAAGGAGCGAGGAGAGGGACGGAGGAGGAGGAGGGAGGAGGAGCGAGGAGGAACGGTGAGGAGGAACGGGGGAGGAACGGTGAGGAGGAGGAGGGAGGAGGAGGAAGGAGGAGGATAAGGGAGAAGGGAGGAGGAGGATGGGGAGGAGGCAGGGAAGATGAGAAGGAAGCTGATGAGGAGCAGGTTTAAGGAGATCCCCAACATGTAGCTGATTTCCGTAAGCGGCGGCGCCAAAAGCCACGAGGGGCGCGTGCTCGTGCACAAGGGCAGGTTCTCCAAGAAGTGGACGGCTAAGGCTTTGAAAGCGAGGCACTCCTCGGCGAAGCGCGGCTCTGGCGGCCCTGAGTCCCTCGAGGAGGTCCGCGGCCCTCTGGTTGGCGCCATGGGCCCCGGCATCGCGTTAGCCCCAGACGGCGCGCGCGCCTCCCACTCCGCGGCCGAGGAGATCGGCGCGGCTTCTCTGTCTGGAGTGAACCACCAGAAGAAGGTGTTCACGCCCGTCACGAGGCTGCTGAAAAAGCAAGCTGGCGCGGAAGACGGCTGCCATGCTGCGCAGCCATTGCCGCGGCAAAACCCCAGCTGTCCAGGAGACGAAGCTGTACTTCAAGCTGGTGGCGGGGGACAACAGCGCCGAATCGACGCAGGAGCACATCAAGAACACTCTGCGCCGAGTCGGCAATGTCGGCCGCCACAACACCACCGAGCTCAAGAAGGCTGTGCAGACCCTGTCTGGCGCTGCCTTGCTGAGGCGGGCTGGTCTAACGAGCGTGCTTGACGCGCTGCGTCGGTACAGGGTTGCGTGCACTAGCGGCGCAGTGCAGATGGCGCCGAAGGGCTGCTTCCGCGCGGGATTGTGCAAATGGGCCCAG